TTTCCCATATTGTGAAAGCCTAGCCAAGCAAGTTCTCAAGGTTTTGCGAGGGGAGAACATTTTCTCCTCAAGAGGCACAGGCATTCCAGTCCTCATCTCGACCCCAAGTAACCTGCGGCTCCGGCCCACACAAAGGGAGGGCCTAGGGGCCTGAGGATCCTGTGTTTCCCACACTCTGTATTTTGTTTTGTTTTGATTTTAGTTTTGTGGGGTTTTTTGTTTGTTTGTTTTGGTTTTTGTTGTTGTTTTTGTTGTGTTTGTTTTTTGTACCAGGAACCAAACTCGGGACCTCATGTTTGCCAGGCAGGTACTTTGCCACTGAGCTATATCTTCAGCCTTGGTTGTTTTTTCATAGCACTTTTTTTTTTTTTTTGGTCTTTTTGAGACAGGGTCTCGCTATGCAGTTCAGGCTGGCCTTGAGCTCACTTTGTAGCCCGGATTGGTTTTGAACTCACAAAGATCCTCCTGCCTCAGCCTCCCAAGTGCTGGGATTACAGTTGTGCACCACCACACCTGGCTTTTTTGTTGTTTTTTGAGACAGAGTCTCACTATGTATTCCATGCTGGCCTTAAACCCACTATATAGCCCAGGCCGGCCTGGAATTTACAGCAGTTCTCCTGCCTCAGCCTCCAGAGTTTTGGGATTACAGCCATGCACCAACATACCCAGGCAACTTGGTTTTTACAAATGAGAAAACAGCCTCACAGATTCCATAACATGCCAGGGTGAAAGACTTAAAGTCAAATTTGATTCCAAAGCTCCAGCCCTGTCTCTCCTAGTGATAAATGGAATTATGACAGAAAAAAGTCTATTACTTGTCTATTACTATGTAACATGCTTCCCCAGAACTAAAGAGTTTGCTTTATTTATTTATTTATGGGTTTTTAAATTTTGAGACAGGGTCTCACTATGCAGTCCAGGCTGGCCTTGAACTCAATATGTAGCTCCAGCCTGGCTTCGAACTCACAGCAATCCTCCTGCCTCAGCCTCCCAAGTGTTGGGATTAAGGCATGTGCCACTATGACTGCCTACAATTTAACAATTTTAATTTTTTTTTTTTTTGTCTTTTTGAGACAGAGTGTCGCTCTGCACTTCAGGCTGGCTTGAGTTCATTTTGTAACAATTTTAATAGGCTTTGTGACTATAGAATTGGGCAATAATGTTCCATAAAACAGAATAACTGTTGCAATGAGCTAGGTAGAAGAGGCTGACTGAGGCAGAGAATGAGTGAGGAAAGAAGTAACGCCCTAAAAAGCAGATTGGTCATTTCGCTTACTTTCCTTGTTAGGAGGGGCTAGGGAAACACAACAATGGGAAAAGAACTGATTTGATAAAATCAGGGGACTTGAGATTACTTTTTGTGTAAGGATTACGGCAAACTGAAACTAAGCTTTATATCTTACATAAAGCTTATACCTTTCTTCCAAGAAATCAGGTTTAGAGTGCTAACAAGCCAGTTTCAATGGACATGGCAATACAATTCTCTCCACCTTATAAAAAAAGTTAACCTAAGGGCTGGGGATGTTGCTATATGATAAAGCTCTTGCCTAAGACCCAAAAGGCTCTGGTTTCCATCCCCAGCATGGCCAAAAATACAAACCAAACAAACAACAAAAAAACCCAACAACAACAGCAGCGCTTCCACTCTTGGGTGGCGCCCACGGGGCTGGGAATGTGGCTGGAGCACTCACCCAGCAGACGCGTCCAGAGCACCGGGGTTCCCAGCATTGCAGCAGCTGTCACTCCAGATAACCCACCAATCCATACGTGGATCCGGGTTTTCATGAGAGTGAAGACTCATGACCCCATCGCTGTGCGAAGGTCCTACCTCCGAATATCATTCATATATGAGTTTGGTATTGTTTGCAAGACATGCAATCAAGGCTCCATTCAAACCATAGCAATACCCAAGAATACTCCAGTATTTGGAAACTGGATACAAGTGAAGAAGTATAGGTGGGTGGGATGGCGGATACCTGTAGTTGCAGCACTCAGGAGGCTGAGGCAGGAGGTTAGTTCAAGGCCAGACTGGGCTACATAGTGAGACCCTGTCTCAAAAAAAGGGAGATGAAGCGACAGAAGGTTGTGCTAGGAGGTCACAGGAAAGGGCAGAAGTGATTCTTGGTTTAGCAAAATATATGTGTGAGCCTTCCAGGTATGACCGTGCACACCTGTAACCCCAGCACTCTGGGAAGCTGAGGTAGGAGGATCCTAAGTGTGAGCCCAGGCTGGGCAATTTAGTGACTTAGTGAGAACCTGTCCCAAAATAAAATTTAAAAAAGGGCTGGGGCAGTGTGAATGCACTGCTTTCAATCCCCAGTACTGCAAAAACAAATAGATAACCAAACTGAGTTAAATAGGGTCTGGGACATGAAGAAATAAGAAAATCTGAAGATTGTCTTTGCTGAGGAGTGAAATGGAACCATCCCTAGGAGGATATACAGGGCCAAAATTCACAAGTGCTACATGCCCATGGAGGTCAAGGACCTGAAAAAACCTAGGGGCCTATTAATAGGAAAGAACTGAACAATGCTACACTTAATCAGTAAAATATTATAAGCCAGTTAAAAAGGATGAGCTAAATAGATATGATGTCTCTCTTTTTTTTCTTTTTTTGATCTTTTTGGGGCAGGGTCTGACTACACAGTTCAGGCTGGCCTTGAGCTCACTCTGTAGCCCAGGCTGGCCTCAAACTCGCAATAATCCTCCTCCCTCAACCTCCAAGTGCTGGGATTACAGGTGTGTGCCACCACACCCAGTTATGTGAGGTCTTTATATACTAATAAAGCATCAAGATGTTACTTTTTTTTTTTGTCTTTTTGAGACAGGGTCTCGCTATGCAGTTCAGGCTGGCCTTAAGCTCACTTTACAGCCCAGGCTGGTCTCGAACTCGCAACGATCCCCCTGCCTCAGCCTCCAGAGTGCTGGGATTACAGGCGTGCGCCACCACGCCCGGCCAAGATGATACTTTCAAAGACTAAAAAATGGGTAGATTTTATCAGTGTCAATATCCTTAAAACTGTATGTGAATCAACACTTATTTCAAATTTTTTTTTCTGATACCGGAAAATGAACGCAGGACCTTGAGCTTGCCAGGCAGGTACTTGTGCTGTTGAGCTATATCCCTGGCCCCCTATCTCAAAAATTTAAGGTTTAAGAAATACTTCCAAGTCGAGTGTGGTGGTGCACCGCTATAATCGCAGTATTCTGTTTGTTTGTTTTTTGTCTTTTTGAGAAAGGGTCTGGCTGTGCAGTTCAGGCTGGCCTTGAACTCACTTTGTAGCCCAGGCTGGTCTCGAACTCGGAACGATCCTCCTGCCTCAGCCTCCTCAGTGCTGGGATTACAGGCATTCGCTACCGCACCGGGCAATCGCAATATTCTGGATGCTGAGGCAGGATTGCCAGAGTTGAAGGACAACCTGGACTACGTACTGACTTCAAGGCAAGCCTGAACTACATAGTGAGACCCTGTCTGAAAAAAATATATATTTAAAATCTACAAAAAAAGAGAAATACTTCCTGACACATAATCTGACACAGCCCCTCTCTCCCGCATCCAGATAAATTTTATCATAAAAAAAAAAAAACTGTAACTAAAAATTGTAACTAAAAAAAGGCTGGGGCCAGGCATGGTGATGCACGGCTGTAATCCCAGCACTCGGGAGGCTGAGGCAGGAGGATCACTGCGAGTTCGAGGCCAGCCTGGGCTACATAGTGAGTTCAAGGTCAACCCGAAGTGCATACCGAAACCTTATCTCAAAAAGACAAAAACAAAAAACAAGGCTGGGCACAGGACGGGGAATAAGAAAGCAAAATCCCACCCTTGCCTTCTCCAGATCCAGAAGATAAAGGTTCCAGGGGCCCTAAATCCACGCCTGCCTTGAGCTTTCCAAAATCGCCAACCTAAATCTGGAACAATTGCTTAAGATCAACAGCAGGTAGCTCCTCTAGTCCAATCAGAGGAGCAAATCTCGTTAGCCTGGAAGGTTAACGCCTCTACTTCTCGGCGGGTTAACGAATTGAGGACTCCGCCTTTTCCCGGTACTAAGGACAAAGCCGTCTCTTCCGCCCCTTTCCACTTTGCTCAGTGTCGCCCTCGGGGAGTCTTCGACCCTCCCGCCGACCTCACTGCGCTCCCAGAGGCCTCCGAGGAAAACCCTGCCATTCAGTGGGCTGTTTTCAGACCCGTCAACTGCAGAGTAGGGCAGCAAACAAGGTTCTCGGCCAGGACGTCACTTCCGGGTACGGACTTCCTACCCCGGAAGCGGGGCCTGATGTAAACACCAGAACCGGGCGCCGAGGCCCGGAAGGTCAGCAAGCCGGGCCGCGCGGGCGGCCCCGACTGCCGGGTCCGGGTCCCGGTCCCGTGGAGGTCAGGTCGGTGTAGCCGGCGGGGAGCTGGAGCATGATCCCAGGGTTGGTCGGGGTCGTGGGGGGTGGCTCTTGTGTAGGGGTGCTGGTAGATGGGGTGTCTGCGACAGGGTCTTAAGTGGGCGCTGGTGTTTGAAGTATGAAAACACTTTGGCGAAGAGTGGAGGCAGCTTAGGGAGAGTTCGTGCATGCCGCGGGGATTTGGAATGGAGATCCGAGAACGGTTCTTGGGAGGTGGAGCTGTCAAAAGTATGGGTCTTGGGGGGGCCGATTGTCCGATAGAGCGTGTTACAGCCTGCAAAGTTAGGAGCTTTGGGCTCCCAGTGGGTGGGCAGGGAGTGCACCTAGGCAGAGGTCTTGGGAGACTGCATTTGAGAGGAGGATTGGGGCTCAAGCGCAGGAGCCGCGAGGGAGGGGGAATAACAGTGGGCGTCTTGCAACTTCGGTGCTTTCCTAGGCAGGAACTTTGGGTGGTGCGCTTCGGGAAAAGGGCTTGAGGAGGTAGCTGCGCCCTGGGGCAAGATCTTAGGGAGAGAAAAGGGTTCCAGAGGAGGAACCTTAGGGGAAGGGCTTCTTGGGGATGAGTCCAGCCAGCTCCAGTAGGAGCCAGGGCAGCAGATCAGGAGGAAGGGAGTGTGGCGGGAGTGGAGGATTTAGCCAGTGGGGAATGCCCAGATAGGGGCTTGATGGTTTAAGGGCTTAGGGGAACATCCAATGATGGTCTTGGTGGGCAAAGTGAGCCAGGGGTGAGAAAGGCTTGGGGAAGCTGTGAGACAGGACTCAGGCGGATGAATGGGTTGGGGTAGTCAAAGGGCATGAGGGGAGGAGTGCCTGGGGGGTGGGCCGTGCATAGCCTCTGGGAAATGGAAGAGATAGGTATCTTACTGAAAGGTGGAGTTCAGTGCTAGGTGCGGGCATGAAGGTAAATAGGGTTGGGCGTGGTAGCATATACCTGTAATCCCAGCACTTAGGAAGCTGAAGCAGGAGGATCACCATGTGTTTGAGGCCAACCTGGAATACATAATGAGACCCTGTCTCACAAAAATAAAAAAAAAAGTGGGTAGCCAGTGGCTTGAGGCCATGTCAGGTACTGGGGTCAAGACTGGCTGAGGATGGAAGGAGGTATCCCTGGGGCACCCCTTATCCCACTACTTCCGGATGAGTCAGTAATGGGCCCTGTGAAAGGAAGTGGGGAGGGTCCAACTGTAGACTTGGGACTTGGCGTGGCCAAATGTGAGAAAATGTGGGGTTCCTGGCTGTTTTGCTTGGGGTCTTGGGAGCTTAGGGCAGACACCAGACTCTTCCTCTTTTTTTGGTCTTTTCGAGAGCTATGCAGTTCAAGCTGGCCTTGAGCTCACTCTGTAGCCCAGGCTGGTCTCAGAACTCACAACGATCCTCCTGCCTCAGCCTCCTGGTGCTGGGATTACAGGTGTGTGCCACCACACCCAGCCTTCTCCCTCTGTTTTTGTCTCTGCAGTCTGGCAAAGAAGTTTGGAGTAGGGAAGAGGAAGAAATCACTTGGGGACAGAGGTTCTCGGACTTGGAGGGGAGATTTAGGACTCTTCCCGACATTGCCCTGTTGTGTCCAGGAGAGAAATCCTGAACCATGACTCAGCAGCCACTTCGAGGGGTCACCAGCCTGCGTTTCAACCAAGACCAAAGTGAGAAAGGCTTGACTGAACTTGTACCCTTGCGGGAGGGAGAAAGGGCCAGAGGTAGGCCACAGGCCCCACCTTCCTCCCTTGGCATTCTCTAAGCCCATCCGGATTCCTTCCATCCCCAGGCTGCTTTTGCTGTGCCATGGAGACAGGTGTGCGCATCTACAATGTGGAGCCACTGATGGAGAAGGGGCATCTGGGTGAGCTACCTGGTGAGGGTGGGGCAGCGGGCAGAGGGCTGGGGTGGGCACTGGCACCCACCTCCACTGACACCGTCGTCCCTGTCCAGACCACGAGCAGGTGGGCAGCATGGGCCTGGTAGAGATGCTGCACCGCTCCAACCTGCTGGCCCTGGTGGGCGGTGGTAGCAGTCCCAAGTTCTCAGAGATCTCAGGTAAGTGCCCTCATCCAGCCCTTGACCTAGATTCCCCAGATTCCTGCCCTCCCACAGGAAGCCTTCGGCACTGGCAGAGGAGGATGTCAGAGCTCCTCGAGTCCCATAGTTCTTAAAGTTTGAGGGGCTTGGTGTTTTGTTTTTGTTAAGAATAAAAAAAAAAAAAACAAAAAAAACTTTTTCACATGAGGGGTATAGCCCATTGGTAGAGCACTTGCCTGGCATGTGGGAGGCCCTAGACTTGATCCCCAGCACTGCAAAGATAAAACAAAACAAAACAGGGGCTGGGGATTTAGCTCAGCAGCACAGCACCTGCCTGGCAAGCACAACGTCGTGAGTTCGATCCCTGGTACTGGAAGAAAAAAAAAATACAAAACAAAACAAATTATCAATTGCCTCTGTATGCTGTGTCCTTCCCTATGGAGTACTAGTTGTGAATTTCATACTATTCTGTGCACTCTGCATGTATTCATTTATTTACTCTTCATACTAACTATGTATCGGGCCTGGAACGTGCTAAGCACATACTCTGCCACTGAGCTACACCCTCTGTCCATTATCATTTTTACCAATGAGAAAACTGAGGTCCAGTGAGGTAAATAAAGGTTTTGTTTTCTTTTTTTTGAGACAGGGGCTTGCTTTGTAGCCCATACTGGCCTTGAACTGGTGGTAATCCATCTGCCTCAGCCTCCTGAGTGCTGGGATTACAGATGTGCACCACAATACTCATCGAGTAAAATTAAGTGGCTTATTCAGAATCACACAAGCAAGCCAGGCATGGTGGCGCATGTCTGTAATCCCAGCATTCAGGAGGCTGAGGCAGGAGGATCACTGAGAGTTCGAGGCCAGCCTGGGCTACAAAGTGAGCTCAAGGCCAGCCTGAAGTGCATATTGAGACCCTGTCTCACCTCCACACACAAAGATCACACAATCAATAGGTTTTCAATTCTTGGAAGTGTCTCTCCAAGACCCCTGTTGGCTTGAGCCTCAAGTACCATTCTGTTTTAAGGGTTTTTCTTGTCGATCCCACTGAAACATGGCAAGAGTTGTCCTAGGTGAGTCATAGAGGTAGTTCCTGAGGGTATGGACTGGGACCCTGGAGGCAGAAATGATTACTGAGGGGCAGTTACAGGCATGGGCATGAGTCCCTACCTTGTTGTTAATGGGCTGTAAGGTCCTCAGCCAGACATTCAGCCCCTGCAAACCTTAGTTTCCTCATCTCCAATTAGCCATAGCACTTCCAGCACCTGTCGTCTCAGGGACGCTGTCCCCAGTGTTCACTCTGTGCAGGGCTCACACCGGGTGTTTAGTGAAAGGTCAAGGCAAGTGGGTTAGGGTCCCCCGGGGAGTAGGGATGGGTTTCCTGTGTCATCAGGCTGCCCCTCACCCTAAACTTTGGCCCCACCAACCTACCCACCTGCCCAGCAGTGCTGATCTGGGATGATGCCCGGGAAGGCAAGGACTCCAAGGACAAACTGGTGTTGGAATTCACCTTCACCAAACCAGTGTTGGCTGTGCGCATGCGCCATGACAAGTAAGCCGGAAGAGGACTGGGGCGGAGCCCGGGAGGTTCCCACAGGGAGAAGGTTAGTCCTGCCTGGGCAGCCCACTCTCCCCTCATAGTCTCCTGTGTTGTGTGAAACCCACAGGATCGTGATTGTGCTGAGGAACCGCATCTATGTGTACTCCTTCCCCGACAACCCCCGAAAGCTGTTTGAGTTTGACACCCGGGACAACCCCAAAGGTGAGGTCTCAGAGGTGCAGGTGTGAGGGGGAGACTATGGGCACAGCCGAAGGCGGAGCTGAGGGGAGAAAGGAAGGCGCGCACACCCAGAGACGCTGGGAAGGGGCCCGGACAGAGGTTCTGTGCACAGAGATGCTCAAGTGGACTGAAAGATGCAGTTCATTCCTCTTTCTATCCTTCAGTCAGTTCTTTCCCCACCCTTGGCCCTGCCCCTCCCCAGTGTCCCAGTGACAGAGCAGAAGCACTCGGTGAGGACATCGCTGAGCAGAGAAAGCAGCACTGGGTCTCCATGGCTGGCCAAGCAGTTTATGAGAATCAGATGTGCGGGGCAAACGGGATTCGCCCAGCAAAGAGAAAGCCTGCCCCCCAGAGGCTTCTTTGGGTACCACGTGTCATTAACCAGTTCTGCCCTTTCTGAGAGCATTCCTGCCTCTGCCTTTCCTCCACCTGCCTATCTGCCCTTCCTCCTCACACCCTAGGGCTCTGTGATCTCTGTCCCAGTCTGGAGAAGCAGCTGCTTGTGTTTCCAGGACACAAGTGTGGAAGTCTGCAACTTGTGGTGAGCGGTCCAACAGACAAGGGTGGGCAGGCAGGTGGGCCGGCCCCCCCCTCGGTGCAGTCCCACTCCTGAACTGCTGCCTCCCACCCCAGGACCTGGCGAGCACAAAGCCCGGCACCTCATCTGCTCCGTTCACCATCAATGCACATCAGAGTGATGTGGCCTGTGTGTCCCTGAACCAGCCAGGCACCGTAGTGGCTTCGGCTTCCCAGAAAGGAACCCTTATTCGCCTTTTTGACACCCAGTCCAAGGAGAAGCTTGTAGAGCTGCGCCGAGGCACTGACCCTGCCACTCTATACTGGTGAGCACAGGATATATGCAGTGGGCTGGTGATCCTGTGGCACATGTCAGGTGGGCGTCACTGCTGGTCTCTCTTCCAGCATTAACTTCAGCCATGACTCCTCCTTCCTCTGCGCTTCCAGTGATAAGGGCACTGTGCATATCTTTGCTCTCAAGGATACCCGCCTCAATCGCCGCTCTGCGTAAGTACCCCCACCCCACCCTGTGGTGTCCCCAGCCCCCCTGCCCGTGCATCACATCAGCCTTACCCAGTACTGCCTGCAGGCTGGCTCGCGTGGGCAAGGTGGGGCCTATGATTGGGCAGTATGTGGACTCTCAGTGGAGCCTGGCGAGCTTCACTGTGCCTGCTGAGTCGGCATGCATCTGCGCCTTCGGTCGCAATACTTCCAAGAACGTCAACTCTGTAATTGGTGAGTGGGAAAAGCCTGTTGGTTGGGAAGGGGGGATCTGCATGGGCAAAAGCCTGCAAGTTTGATCTAAAAGAATTTGAGGGCCATCAGAAGCCTGAGGGAGGGGCCCAGGATATAGCTCAGTGGCACAGTTCCTGCCTAGCAAGTACAAGGTCCCGAGTTCAATTCCCGGTACTAAAACAAACAAACAAACAAACAAACAAAAAAAACCAAAAAAACAAAACAAAACAAAACAAAAAAACAAGAAGAAGCAACCTGAGTGGGGCTGGGGATTTAGCTCAGTGGCAAAGCGCCTGCCTGGCAAGCGCAATGTCGTGAGTTCAATTCCTGGTACCGGAAGAAAAACAAAACAAAAAAAGAAGCCTGAGGGAGTTGGAATGTGGACCAACTCCATCATCAGTAAGGAGTATGGCACTTGGGCAAAGGCCTGGGGGTAAACTTTAGGTCACGGGACACTTGAGAGGACTGGGTGTATGGCTGTGGCAGCCCCTAACCTTTTACCACCCCCCCAGCCATCTGCGTAGATGGAACCTTCCACAAATATGTCTTCACTCCCGATGGAAACTGCAACAGAGAGGCTTTCGACGTGTACCTTGACATCTGTGATGATGACGACTTTTAAGGACCTTGGGGGCTGTGCTAGGAATCTACAGTGACAGATTGCAGAGTTGAGGCTTGGGTGTGGGAAAGTGCTGTGGAAGTCACCAGCCAGCAAGCATTCCACTCAGCAAAGCTATGTCTGAACCAACAGCTCACATCCCTCCAGCTCTTTTTGATGACTGTATGCTAAAGAGCTGGGCCTAAGATCCAAAGAGGTCGCAGGTCCCTGGGGCCTCTATCCTAGAGAAGATAGCTAGAGACCCAGGGGAAGCATCCTAATTCTACCTTGAGATTTAAAAAAGCTTACCATAGGAAGAGATGAATTCTGATATGATGAATATGAATAAAATGCCCCTAACAGCATTTATGGCTTGACCTCAAGGGCGGGGCATGGAGTTTCTTTGAGAGGTGTGAGCCTCTCACTCAGAGCCACAGGAAGCGAAATCCAGCTCTCATCCTTGTGAGAGCCCTTGCTGATTTATCTCTACCTGTCTGGCTGCTGTGTCCTTGAACCGCCGGCACCACCCAGTACAATCCGCCCCGGGGTGGGTGGAAGTTTGAGAAACATCGGAAATTCTCGCCGCGGGACAGACGCTTGATTTCCCAGCAGCCCTTGCTGCCCCCCTGTGTGGCGCAGTACGTTCCCTCCCAGTCATGTACGCGGCCGCGCCTGCGCAGTCTACCTAGGGAGGGTTTAGTCGTTTGGCCCAGACTCCATTTCCCAGTGTGCCTTGCGATGCAGCGGGGAGTAACGGGTGTTGTAGTCCGGCCTCCCTTCGGGCTGGTCCAGCGACCGACAGGATGTCGGAGGTGCGGCTGCCACCGCTACGCGCCCTGGACGACTTTGTTCTGGGGTCGGCTCGTCTGGCAGCCCCGGATCCATGCGACCCGCAGCGATGGTGCCACCGCGTCATCAACAATCTTCTCTACTACCAAACCAACTATCTTCTCTGCTTTGGGTTCGGTCTCGCTCTAGCCGGGTGAGGGAGGGAGTGACTTGGTTGGTTGGCCGGGGACACCAGGGCTATGGAAGGGGTGCCCCGCGGATCCTTGAGGACCAGGAGGGGGAAACTAGGAAAATGCTAGTACCGGAAGGGCAAATTCGGTAAAAATGGGAAAAGCCTGAGGGGCATGGAAAAAGGGCAAGTCCTTCTGGACAGGAGGGCCTGCTGGGAATGAAGGGTGTAGAGGGAAGATACGGAAAGGTTGGAGAGAGTGGAACTAAAGGAGAAAGTGAGCTGGGAAGTGGACCTGAAAATAAGGCCTGAAAGGGGGACATTTGTACTTAGTAAGGTGATGTGATGGGGCCAGATTAAAGCAGCCCTGGAGGATCTAGGACAGAGGCAAGGACATGGACGTGGTAAAAGTTGAAGGGTTTGGAAGGTGGACTTACGGAGTATCAGGTCTTGGAGGGAAGCTTGTTCATGGTTAGAGCACACCAGGAGCAGGTACCTGTTGGAAAACTTGAGCCCAGAGGAAAGAACCTGGGTTGAAAAGCTTGAGACTAGAGAGATGGAGAATCCAGAGGAGGGACTTGGTCAGGGCTGGAAGTTAAGAGTGGGACCAAAGGCCCAGTAAAGCGTTCTAGTAATGATCTGAGGAGGGATCGGTAAGGAAATAGGAGTCATGGTAGGGAAGGCGGAGGCCTAGAAGGGGATCCTCTAACGACCATGGGCCAGGAGAGACGGAAATGTGCGGAGACTGGAGGTCTGGATGAGGGATCTGCAGAGGCTGGCTCAAATGGGGTATGTGGGGGCAAATGGAGGGTTACTGGAGAGAAGCCCTGCAGGGCTAGGAAAGACCAGGGAAATGCCAGGAGCTCGGGACATCTAGAATGGGAAGACCTGAATTAAAGACTTCAGGAAAATGGACTGTAGGATTGAAACACAGGAAACGAGGGTCCATAGGAATCCCTGGAGGATGCACCCGTTGGAGACAGGGCTGGGGTGAATATTTGAGGGCTGGAGAATCCAAAAGTGGGAAATCAAAGCTCTTGGTGCTCAGGATGGGGTAAGGGGGATGGTGAGGCTAGCTTAGTGCCCTTGTTCCCACAGGTACGTGCGTCCGATGCACACGCTCCTGAGTGCGCTGGCAGTGCTGGTGACACTTGGCATGCTGGTGTGGGCGGCTGAGACCCGCGCAGCAGTGCGACGCTGCCGCCGGAGCCACCCTGCCGCCTGCCTAGCCGCAGTGCTTGCCGTTGGCCTCCTCATTCTCTGGGTCGCGGGCGGCGCGTGCACCTTCCTGCTCAGCATCGCCGGGCCGGTGCTTCGTGAGTCTCTGCCAACCCCTGAGATGCCTCGTTAAACGACCAACGTTTAAGATGCCAGGCTCAGCCTGCACTGGTTCTTGGTCTGAGACAGGGCTGGGAAACCCGGAGGGCAGCTCCTTTAAATGCTCCTTCCCTGGCTTCGCTCCTCCCATCTGGGTACACCCCGTTTATTAGCGAGGTTTTGGGTCTCCTGGTGTTACCTGCCTTAAACTAGCCACTTCCCAGTTACTGCAAACCCTTTCTGGTCACACCTCCACTGCCAAACGAATTGAGTTAACTGGGCCATACTTTAGTTGCCCACCACTCCATTGGCCTGCCTGTGCGCCAGTTCCCTTCTGTGGGCCCCGATTGGCTGCTAGGTGAAGCCCCATCCCACTGATCCCACCCCTCTCCCTACCACCCACAGTGATTCTGCTGCACGCCTCCATCCGCCTTCGAAACCTTAAAAACAAGATTGAGAACAAAATCGAGAGCATTGGTCTCAAGCGGACGCCAATGGGGCTGCTACTAGAGGCGCTGGGACAAGAACAGGAGGCTGGATCCTAAGGGCCTGGGACCTGCACCCAGGACTTGAAGAACACCCCCACCCCCACTCCCACCTGCAACCCAGCCCATACCCAGGACCTAGAGCCTTTTCCCAGCCTTTATAATAGCAGTCAAGAGCACCTTGGCCAGTCAAAAAGACAGGACATCAGTGATCTCCACCCTGGTTTAAAATTAGGGTACCATTCATTCCCAATCCCTCTCCCCTTACTAGTCTTCCACAACCCTCAACTTAGGACCCACAGCCACTCCAGCCTCAGGCCTTGGGCTTGGTACTGGAGCATCTATGGCCACTCTCAAACCATGGAGAGGTACCTACCTTAATTCTGGGACTCACTAGTCTCTCATATCTAGCACTGAAGCTGGGGCCTGGGGCAAGCCATTCTCAAATCTTGAACCTTGGACCAAGTCTTCCAAACCCCACCTCAGCTTCAAATCTAGGTTAAGGCATTGCCAAATCTAGACCCCCAAGCCAAGTCCTCCCTCACCTGGGTGGAGTCAGATATCCTGACCCTGTTGAACCAGGTGACCCCAACCTCACCAATCCCAGTTGCCTTCAGCTGTTTAAGAGGTGTTGCCCCTCCCCTAATGTTCCACAGTGTCAAGGACCAAAGGGTGGAGGGTGGGGTAGCCCCAATTGGAAACGGGGTAGCTACATCAGTGTTGCTGCAACAATAAAGCCGTTGCCTCTCTCAAGCTAGTTTGGGCTCCTGGCTGAAGTCCTTGTGCATTTGAATGGACGGGATGGCCTGCTTTTCAATGCTGTTTACCTCTACCCGACTTTCTATGTGGGCTGGAGGCTAACCTCTCAGGCTCCTTCTCAAATCTGTTACTTCTGGGTCAGCACAGGGAGATTACGGGTGCAGTGTGGGAAGTAACCCGGCACAGTGCTTGCCTACCGTGCGAGGAGCCCTAGCATCTCACACACATGCACACAAGTGCGTGAGTTATGGAGCTCTTGAGATGGGCCGGGAGTCTGGGTACAAGCAGGCACAGAAGTTGCCTCACCTCACAAGGCGAAGTCTAAAACAGAAGACATTATCTGTTTTTGTTTTTTTTCCGGTACCGGGAATCGAACTCATGAGCTCGCGCTTGCCAGGCAGGCGCTGTGCCGCTGAGCTAAATCCCCAGCCCCTGACATTGTCTGTTTCCACAGTGCTTTGTTTTACCCTGGCCCACCTGGCACATCTCACAGTATTCTTCTTGTAAAAAAGTACTGCATTATCTGGACTGAACTAGAAGTGTGTGCCCCTGTGGCAAAGCAGACAGAGGAGCAACACAGGGGTTCAGTTTACACATTTATTATAGAAATCCCCTTCCAGTGTGGGTAGTGTCTTGGGCCCAGATCCATTGGTACAAAAAGAAAAGTTTAACACCAGGTAAAGGGGGTAGGGGAACCCCCCAGTTCCAGAAAGTCACAGCTAAGTATCATAGAAAACAGTTTGTATAGATTTGTTTAAAAAGTGGTGAATGTAAGGAAAGCCAGGAGGATGTGACGTGGCCTGTGGCCCATGCCCAGACATCACCTGAGCATTTTACTGGCATCTACCAGATGCCAGGTTCAACCACCATAGCATCCCAGAATGCAACACACCTGATGGCTCTGCCCCTTGCCAACCTCCTGTGGGGCCTCCTGATTGGGGGTGGTGTGCACACAGGCTGAGGGCAGAGAGGGACAGGACCTCCTTCAGGTATCCCATCCAGATTGCAATCTATCCAAAGGTGGGCAGAGAGCCCATTTGCACAAGAACTCCCCTAGTGGGGGATGGCAGGGAGTTCTGTTCATACCAAAGTCTCCTGGTAACCCTAAACAGGCCCTGAGACCTTATATGGTCCATTTCATTTGGGGGGGGTGTTCCTAAATGGAACAGGCTGGGTGTGGGGACAGGAATGAACCCAACCAGCACAAACTCACAGTTTCCCTTTTATAAAACGCCTAGTGTTGGGTAAAGACAGTGAATACTAAATCACAACTGTAAACAGAAATGTAGGAAGGGGCTTGGAGTCCCCATGACATGATCCCCTCCCGCTGTGAAGCTGACTGAGGCCCCCAGCCCCCAGCACGGTATGAGAGGAGAAGCAGGGTATCAGACACCTTCCTGGGCCCACGGGGAGCCAGGGGCCTTGGAAGATCAGGTTGGTGCCCCCAGGACTGAGAGCAACCACATCCCAGAGCTCAGCAAGGTCACCTGTGTGCTCCTCAAACTGGAGTCATGCTCAGGCCACCAAGGGGCATATCGGAAGGAGTCAAACCAGTGTCCCTGGGGTCTGGGGGTCAGAACTGGAAGACTGCTCCCCCTCTAGCGTCAGGTCACTTAAGCGAGCGCTCAGCTCCGGGGGGTACAGGAAGTCCGCGTAGTATCTTTAGAAGGGACAGCAGGAATCCAGAGGACAGGGTGGGGAAGACCAGAGAAGAAAAGACAGACAAGACACAGAAAGAAAGAGGAAAACAGGCTCGTTAAAGAGGTGAAGAGGCATAAGACAGCACCTTCCAGGGTCCCAAGCATGGGGCGTGGAAAAGAGGAAGAGAAAGGTACGGGGCTCACGATGTCCCTTCCTCCCAGCACCCTGGCTTCAAGGCTCATCTCCAGCTGACATGCACTGATGAAAATATTAAAATCCTTCTACAGCTTGGTAAAGAGCTACTGCTACCAGCACCCAAGATCCCCCTCCACCAGGACCCTAAGGACTAACACTGCTTGTGCCTGGTACAGCGACTGTGCCAATGCTGCAAGTAAAGTCCTTGTGTTCCCGGTCATCAGCTATCATGACTAGTTCCCTGGCCTGGATAACTTCACCATACACCTCAAGAGACCCCTACCCATCCTCAATAAAAGCAGCCCCCATACCTGCCGGAGACAGGGGGTGCTGTGAAACTCCTCGAGTGCGGGAGCGGTGCCTGGCTGGGGGCCCCATACAGCGCCTGGCCCACCTCATAGCAGCGGGAATGGAGGAAGGGCGGGTGTGGTGGGCCCACGTGTGGCAGCACAGGCCGGCGCTGGGGCCCCACGGCCAGTCCCGAGTTCCGGATGTACCAGTCCCGCAGCCCCTCCAGGGCTAGGTTCTTGTGGCCACTGCGCTCACCAACTGGGGGTATGCGGGTGGGTGGGGGCATCCACAGCAGAGGGTTTGGGTGCACCTCCGGGCCCTCAGCAGCTTCCAAGGGCAGGCCACAGGGCTTGGTGCGGGCAGCACGGGTATGGGGGTCCTTGCTGCGGAGGAGGGGGCTGCTGCTGTCAGCTGCATACACGGGTGGTGGGCCAGGGAGCATGGCGAGGAGCCCATCCCGACGGGAGAGGGGTCCTGAGGCCTCAGCTGCGGGCAGCAGGTCCCCCCAGCCTGCCCCGCTGCCACCGCGAGGCAGGCCCCGGTCCAAGGAATAGTCCAAGAGGAAATCCCCACACACAGGTGGGAGCCTGGGGGCCCCACGGGAGACAGGGGCAGCTGAACTCGGCCGGGTGGCCCGGGGAGGGTCTGGGAGGCCAGCTGTGCGGGAGGAGAAGGCAGGGGGCGGTTGGGGGCGCTCATATAGCACCTCACTACTTTTGCAGACTGGAGGGCCAGTGGCAGGGGGAGCCAGAGGGGCAGGTGGGGAGCCAGCTCCCCCACTAGCTGCCCGGTCCACCAGCAGGGCCTCAGAGCTGTTGCTGCGTCGGGTGCGAGCTGCAAAGAGGGAGGCGCGGTCGGAGGCAGGGTCTGCCCGGGGGAAGCCCATCTGGGAGTCCTGACTGCCGGACCACTGGCGAGAATGGAGGCCTTCAGGTCTGCGGCACAGAGGTAGGGGTAATGGTAGGAAGGTTAGGAAAATCAGGCAGATGAGCTGAATGTCCCCCACCCCATTTCTTTCTGAGCCTCCAGTTACACATCTCTAAAACGGACCTCGAATTAAGTTGTGTGTGTGAAGGTGATAGACAGTGGCATGTAAATGGCAACTGAGGTTTGGTCCCAAACTAGGGGCCCCAGGGGTTGGACATCTACTGAGGGAGAGGGCTGCTGGCTGGGGGAGTGTAAATATGTGTAGAGCTGAGGAGGGAACACTAGCAGAGGAGGAGCCACACGAAGGGTTCTTCCTAATGCAGCTGACCCCTCAACTCCTGCTAAGGCCCTGCTCGTGGCTTCTCTATCTCCAGGACGAAGTCACGGTCTTTAGGCCTGGATATAAGACCAACCTGAACTCTCTGTCACATCATGTATGTGAACCACAACAGCCACCACACACAGAATGCAGGCCCCACAAGGACAGGGCTTTGGGGATTTCTGCGGCCTGGGGAAAGTAGGCACTTCTAAATATTTACCAATATAGTGGTTAAAAGAAAACTCTTCAGAGTCAAAATTGCTTGGGTTCAAATACCAGGCCTTCAGCTTACTAACAAGTAACCTTTATGCCCCACTTTGCTCATCTATAAAACGAGAATGGCAATAACATCCCTGCAGAGGGATCTTGTGATACTTAACTAAGTTGCTCTCACATAAAGTACTCAGTACTAGCAGACGGTAGGTACTCAGTCCATGTTACCCAGAACTTACTATGCTGTTTTTTATTTTAAAATAAAAGTAGGAGTTTTTATTGAGTTCTTTAAATTCCTACCCCATGGGGTTTTTTCTTATTGGAATTTTTTAATCAACCACTCATAATTTGTTCAACTGCCTGTGGTTTTCAAAAGCTGGTATTACTATGCCCACTACGAAAATGAGACAACAATTCAGAGAAGGGAAACGACTTGTCCAAGACACAGGAAAGCCTGTACTTGAACTTTGGTGCTTCTGTTCCCAATTCCCACCCCTTTCTTCACCAATTCCTAGTTACCTTCAAAGCCCAAGTGCCCATATCCCACACCTTTTGATAATTTCACCTCAACACCTCCAGTTAGAACTAAAGGTTCCCTCCTCTGATCCTCAGACCCACCCGTAGAGTCCCCTTACTTGCACAGCTGGGGGCCAGTGCCCCGGGTGAGGACGGGGGTGGCAGGCACACTTCGCCCCTCAAAACTGGAGGCACTCCTGGGCAGCGAGCGGGTGGGGCTAGACAGAGACGGGCAGGCCCAGGTCGGGGCCCAGGTTAGAGACTGTACCCACAGCAGGCCCTCCGGCCAGCCCAGGCTCAGGATCCCATTCCTGGCTCCTGGGGAGGGGGAGAAAGAGCTCATCCTCACCTGGTAGGGCTGGCCACAGAGTTCCGACGGCTCTTCAGATCTCCATAAAGATCTGATGGGGGTGGTTTCCATGGGGTTCGCCTCTCAGGGCTCCCCCCAGATACTGCCCGCAGCTGGTCCCAGGCCTTGGGTGGTGAGGGGCGCTCAGCAAGAGAAAAGCAGCCACGGGGCTCCTCTGGGTAGAAGAAAAAATAACTGGGGTAGAAGTTAAAAAGAAAGGGCCCAGCAGGGCCAGGACAGGTTGGCACAAAGCACAAGGCAAGGGCTAGTGCTAGGGTAGGGTTAAGCAGGCTGAGGAGTGAAGGAATGAGACAGGGCAAAAAGGGGAGGAGAGGAGCTCACAAGTACGCCCTGGGGCTGTGCGGGGAAAGATGGGATCGGGTGATACTAAGAAGATAGGGGCAAGCTGGGCACAGTGGTGCATGCCCGTAATCCCAGCACTCAGGAAGCTGAAGCAGGAAGATTGCTGCAAGTTTGAGGCCAGCCTAGGCTACATAGTGAATTCAAGGCCAGCCTGCACTACATAGCAAGACCCTGGCTCAAAATACCCACTGAAAAGGTGCGGGGCACAGGAAGAGGGAGCACAGCTACAGAACACTTAAACAAGTAGGGGAGGGTTTTTTAGCAGCACAGAATGGGCTGAGGGAACCTAGGAGGGGGCTGAGAGCAGGCTGAGGGATACAAGTCCTCACCATTGTCATGGCTGGCCCCGGATTCTGAGAGGGAGCTGCTCTCCGAGTGCAGGACTACATCTTCTATAAGTGAGAAGGGAGAAAACCAGAACTATTACCCCAAGGCTCATCCCCTTGCCCCACTAGGTGGGCTTCTCTGCTTACCCTGCATTCTGGGTGGTCCCTCCTCACTGCTCCCTCCCCAAGAACCCACTTTTAGCTAGAGGCAAGACCACCATGGGCTTGGGTCTTCACTTTCCTAGGGCCTACTGGTCAGTCTCCCCGGGGGTCGCCCTTGCCCATTTATCGCCCTTTATCACAACTCTTCTTATTCGGTGGCTCCTTTGGATCTGTCCATCTCCCAGCATTCACTGGCTGCTCACCCATCCCACCTGTACCACACCCATTAGATAGAGCTCATTCCCTGGCCTATGCTCCTGCAGTCTCCCTGGTGGGATTGTAGGGCCTGGCTCACCTTGGCTGAGTTGAGTGAGGCGCGTGCCTAGGCAGACTCCCTGGGTGGTGATGAGTGCCCCCGAGGACAGTGGCAGTGGCTGGGGTGGAAGCACCGGGAGGCCGAGGCGGGCCCGGACATCTCCAAGCTGCTCCTCCAGCTCATGAAGCCTCCGTAGTGCATCTGCCTGCACCTGGCGCCGGCGCCGCCGCTGCTCAGCACTCAGCTCAGGAGCCAAGGCCAAGCGACGAGCAGCTGCAGCGATCTGCTGCTGCACTGACACCTCCCGCTCCAGGGCCTCAAGAGCCAACTCCTATGGGGCCCAAGAGGGGTGGGACACGACCAAATGTTGGAAATGGCCAGGCACAGGACCCAGGCAGTGGCAGAATCCATCTGCCCTGGAAGCAGGTGCTGCTCTTCCTGCGGGCAGGCCTATCTGCCTAGGGAAGGAGCTTATTCACTGTCTTGCAGCTGGGCTTGTTCATTTTCCTGAAAGTGGGAGGCCAGTCCTGACAGAGTTAGGGACAGCATAATACCAGAAAACCATCTCTTCAAGCCCTTTCCCTTCTCATCCCCACCTCCCAGGCTATACAGCATTCTTTCTATGCCTGTTCTTGTCCCTTACCCCGACCACCTCGCCTTCCACACCCATTTCCTCACCTCTGCAGGGCACAAGGCATGATGTGCTGGGTTAGGGTGCGGTGGAGGGTAGGCACGGGCCGCAGGAGGCCGCCGGCGGACTAACTGGGGACGTTCACCAGGCTCCAGCGGGCACTCAGGGGGCAACTGGCCAGTGAGCTCCTGGAAGGGGCAGTGGACAGACATGACCAAGAGTCAGTTGTAGCCACAGAGTAAAGCAGGGATGATCTCAGAAACTACAGAAGTCCTCTCTGGAGCCTGGCCCTGCCCAGCACCCCACATATGTTATATGTCTTTTCCTCCACTAGGCCGGTGAGCAGTGTAGAATCTCAGTCCTTCAGTGGCCCAAACCCTGGGGCAGTGGGCACCAAAGGCTGCGAAACCTGGAGTGCAGAATATTGTTGTTTTTATAAAGAAGACATAGTCTATGTACTATATTTTATATAACACTCCCATCAGGTCTAGAGCTGCATAGTCTGAACCACATTATTATTCCCAGCAAATTGTACGGACATTCACACTAAAAGACGTAAGTCAAAACTACAAATCACCCTATGTCCCTGCAGGGTAAGCTGTGCTGACAAATTTTGGAAATTGCTTTCATTTTCTGAGGTTTTGGGGATCTAGAGTTGTTGAGAGGGAATTGTGAGTCTACATCACCTTATTTCACTGATGCATTGATTCTAGGACATTTAAGCAGAGCTGAGGAGACAATGGGTAACAGGGAACCTATGTCCTAATCAGCCTATCTAGGGCCCAGCTCCTTACCCCCTCCCACCTGAGACCCCTAGGACCCAGCTCTCACCGCCTCCTGGAGACAAACTTTGCGGAGCTCCTGAAGTTTTAGGCTCAGCGCCTCCTGCAGGGCCCGCTGCCGGTCAAGCAGACCCCGAAGACGCTCTGACTTCACCTGGGGGGCAGCCTCTCCAAACAGGGCAGCTAGACAGAGGGAGTGAAGATCAGTGGGATAGCTAGGGCATTCTGGAGCATGTGGCCAGGGACCAACCCTCCCCAAGAGGGCAGGTGGTGATTCAGAACAGGGGAGAAGCAGTAGGAGGGGGAACCAGCTACCAACCTGGGGTATTGAAGGTAGGAGAGCTTATCAGCTGACCTTTGACTTCCATCCTGATGCTGTGGGGAGCCCGTGGCTGATGGCTAGACAAGGCCTGGCAGTAACACAGGAGCCATTAAGGAAGCACAATCCATGATACACCCCCCACACCCTGGTCCCTAGCCCGACCCAGCTAACCATGCTCCAGTGGGGGATTTAAAGTAGCCTGGGCCCCACCCACCTGCCTGACCTGCCCTCTTATATTCTGTGTTGATGTCAGGACCCACTTGGCCCGGGTACCTTGGTTCCCTTCCCATTGAGTGGGAACACAGCAAGTAGGAAGCTGGGCGGACTTACGCCTCCTCAGAGGCCCATGGGCCACAGCCAGAAGAAGTCTTGCCTGGGGAGAGAGAAATAATGGTACAAATTCAATCAAGGATAACAAAGTGTACTTATTAAGCACCTGGGTGCCTAGAATAGTTAACCTACTATGCCACATTAAGTCTTCACGGTCCCCCAGTGATAGTTCTGTGATTATTACCCCCATGTAAGAGATGAGGACAGTAAGACACAGGGACAGTTAAAAAAAAAAAAAAAAGACACAGGGAGACGAAATGATGAAATGTCTTGCCCACAGCCCATGATACAGTCTAGGCCCACCCCTCAGGTCCTATGCTCTCCCTCATTAATGCTGTTCCAAGTTCATCAACTTTCTCCTAAGTTCCCCAGTCTACCCATCCTCAGGGCCTTTGCCCAGGCTGTGGCTACTGTCAGGAAGGCTGTTTTCAAAGTCTCACCACCCTACTCTGGCTTCTCACTTAATATTCTAGGGCTTTTGTGTCACCTCCAGAGATGGACCCTGCATAGTACACTCCCACTACTGCTGGCCAACAAGAGACTGGCCTCCCTGTACCTCCCTGTCTGTCCCGTTACATCAACATCTTCAGTACTTTGGTGCCTACAAGGTGCCCCGCTGTCTCTGCAGTCCTCCTACCTGCCCCACAGAGTCTGTATCCCTCCCCTGAAGCACTTGTGCCCTGTCCTTATGAGAGGTGAGCTCGGTCCCTAAAGCAGGTGTGTCTAACCTGCAGCCCACAGGCCCCTTGCCCTCCTTCTCCTTAATATTATAATAAAAGTACTTTAAAAGGCAATTTTGTTACTTATATAGATTAACTATATTATATATTTTACATGTACATTGAACACTACTGCACCAAGAATGTGCTGCTGACTGCACAAACGATTGTGTGAACACAGGCCCAGAGAGCCAAGCCAGGATCTATGCCCAGGTCTGTGGGTCTATATTGTCCCAGCTCCACCCTGTGGCCCTGGTGTAGCACAAAGTATTCACATGATCTCAGGGTCCCTCCAACCTCTTTCTTGCTCTGAGCCTGTCCTGAGACTACCAAAGGGAAGTCACCACACCAAGGGTTGTGAGAAGCAAAGTCCACAGGTATAGATAACAAGCCACATGCCTCCTTTTCTGCCCCCCAAAACCTTGGCTGAACATGGAGCCTACCCAGGCTGGCTGCCAGCTCTCCCTCTCTCACATCCTGTTCAGTCTGCAGCCGGGCAACCTGGTGATAATCACCTCCCACTACTAGGCCTGATCTACATGATAGGTGACTGGGCAAGCCTCACCTACCCTGAAATCCATAGCTAGTCTCGCCATGGTAGCCAGGTAGGGTGAAGTCCAGTCAACCAAGGCGCTCGGGTTCAGGCACTTTCCCTGTCTTTATATTATGGGCTACTGCTTGGCTCCCCCTTGCTTTGGGGCCTATAAGATGCCCCACTTTCTCTGCAGTCCTCCTACCTGCCCCACAGGGCCTGTATCCCTCCCCTGAAGCACTTGTGCCCTGTACTCCTCATGAGAGGTAAGGTCAGTCCCTAAAGCAGGTGTGTCTAACCTGCAGCCCACAGGCCACTTGCCCTCCTTTTCCTTAATATTATAATAAAAATATTTTAAAAGGCAATTTTGTTACTTATATACATTAACTGTATTATATATTTTACATGTAGCCCAAGACAATGCTTCTTTACTCAATGTGGCCCAGGCAAGCCAAAAGGTCAGACACCCATGCCAAGGCCAGGCCAGGTGTACTTTACAGGGGCCTCACAGGCTCACCCATCAAAGGGCTGGCACTTCCCGGCGTATGCCCCAGCTCAGCCAGCTCAGCTGCCTCTGCCTTGCAGGTCCAGGGGCTCTTCCTATTTCCCAAGGCCTTGTCTGAGTTTTGGGCAACTTTCATCAAGTTCCCCTGAGCCCTCCTCCAGCCCAATAGGAATCCAACCCCCACCCCTGGGCCTTTCCCCCCTTTCACCAAGATGGGTCCCACATCCCACACAGGGCTGCCTCAACCCTTCCTTCTTTGGGAGCTCAGAGCATCCTGGAAGTCAACGGGGTCCAGACACGAACCCTGACTCCACCCTGTTAGCCTGACCTCTGGGACATAGCTAGGACATGAGTCATAAGGTCACTGGGCAGGCTAGGCACAAGGTCAACGCCCCACACCCCACGCCCAGCTCTGGAACCTTTGCCTCTGCTCACCTGCCCTTCATACACTTGCTCTGGGACCTAGGGCTGTCCCGTCACCAAGCAGAGATGGTGGGACCTCACCAATCTCCTCTCCAGCCCCTGGGCCTCCCACTGGGAACCCCAGGGGCCTTCTATGGTTAGTCAGTCCTCCGTGGGATCCGTCTGCCCTCTCCTAGCGGGGCAGGGCTGAAGCAGAAGAGCTGCAGAGGGCACCCCCACACTCTGAGGCGGGCCCAGCAGGTTTTTCAGGTCTGCCCTTCTGACACCTCAGCCCAGAAAGAAATTCCTGGCTGTAATGACTGTTTACAACCAAGATACCTCACCTGGGTGGCACCCCAACACTGTCAGCAGGACCCCCACCTCCACATCCTGCCACCACTGGAACTAATAAACACTCCCAATGTCTGGACTGTCCTCCTTCTCCAAGCCTCCACTTCCTCCACTCCAGATGAACAAACGGGTGGAGGGGGAGGCAGGTGGGTACCTGGGAAATAGTTTTTCAATAGCCAGGTCTGGCCTTTGCTGAGGGGCTGGCCCTGAGGTGGGGGAGGGCAGAGGCTGCTCAGCAGGAGAGAAAGTAGAGGAAGTGGGGTGGAGGAGGGGGACTCAGGTTGCTCTTCCCCATACCTCCTCTCCCATTTCCGGCCAGGAGTCAATCTGTCCCAGAAAAGAAAGATGGACACGTGGGGCTTCATCTTCAGACCCCCCCACCCCACTCCACACTGTCAGTGTACCTCTCCCGCAGAACTGGCTCTCTCCGAAGGGAAGGAACTTCAGCACACCCTATCCCAGGCGCCATACCCTCAGCTCCCCCACACCCTGGACTCACTGCTTCCAGGTGCTCACCAACACCAGAGAGTTCTATGCGGTGGCCTCCGGTACCTCAAAGAAAATAGTTGTCTCGACCAGGCCCTGGCTCGGCTGGCAGTGGCAGTAAGCGGCAGTGGCAGATGCCTTGGCCGCCTCCCACAAGGTAGTGGCCCAGCCTACCTGGCCAGGAACTGGGCTGGCCCACACCTCTTAACCCTTACCTGCCTGTCACCAAAGCTAGGGCCACACAAGCGGGAGGGAGGCAATGTCAGGGCCAGGTCCCCTGAAGGAGCCCAGCATGGCTACGAAGAGAGCCTAGAACTGCTTCCTCACCCCAGACACTTGGTGGAGAACTAGGGAAGGGACTAAGAGTCATGCACATAGCCACTGCCTGTCCTGCTGCCCAGATTCCCCGAGGCTGCATACCCAAGGTTAGGACCTTCGGCCTGGGGACTGGGTGTAGGGAGACATGGGCAGTTTATGCCTCTCGGCAGTGTGCATCCCCTTTCTGAGACCCCTACCTTTCCTTCCCAGGGCAAGGTGGGGTGGGTGGGAGGTCTTGCAGCAATTCCCCCCATCATTAGGGTAATAGTTTTCCAAGCTGGGGACAGAGCAAGTCGACTTTTCTTAGGAGAGACCAGATCTCATGACCCCACTACCTTCCCATGGCTCTAGAAAGAAAAATTCCTAATAAACTGTCCACAACTTATGCCCTACTAACCTGAGGAGGGATATAGACTAGTGGTGGCAAACCTATGGCACGTGTGCTGCAACGGGCTCTTTGTATCACCGAAAGCTCTAAAAGGTTCACCATCACTGGTATAGACCCAGCCTCCTCGGAGCTACTGTACAGATGTGGAAGCTGAGGCTCCGAGAAGTACAGAGGCCTGACAGAGATCCCAGTGGCACGCCTAAGAACCGGAGCAGGAGTCAGAATCAGAACTTCGACCTGGGCTACTGCAGAAAGAGGCTACTCCTGCAGGGAGGAGAGGGAGTAAGAAGGGGGCTCGGGCTTCTTCACACCCTTGTTGGGTCTCCCCCACCCATCCCCCTCAACATTTTTGGCCAGAAGTCAGGCTTCAAGCCAGGAAATTGAGGGCACTGCATCCTCAGGAGGTACTGTCCCCTGTACACCACCACCTGGGCTCTGGGCCTGCCCCAGCATACATCACATCCTGTCATCTATGTGGGACCATCTGCTCTGTGACCTCAGGCCCCAAACTTAACCCAGGCCCCCTTGCAACCTTGCCATGAGATAAATGGGGGTGCGAGGAATGCTTCCTCCCTACTTGGCAGGTTGGCCTTGCCTGGAGTGGAGCTCCCTGTCACATAGCTATTAAGGCTTTCCATCATCCCTGCCCACCTTTCTTCTTGGGGATGAGATTTCCAGTGTGATACACAAAGGCCCCTTTCATTATCTCCCCCTCACACCCTCCTGTGTGCCTCAGGCTGGTACAGGTCCTCTCAGAGAGGTGATGGTGGAGAATGTACTCTTGGCCATGGCTTATCCAACCTCTGTGGGCCACCAAGAATGTTGGCAAGATGGCAAGACTCCCCCCCAAAAAAAGCTGGTCATGGTAGTGCACACCTGTAATCCCAGCACTCAGGAGGCTGAGGCAGGAGGATCCCCAAGAATAACATAGTGAGTTCAAGGCCAGCCCGAACTACATACTGAGACTTTGTCCCAAAATACCAAACCAAACAAAACAACCCAAAAGACAGGAAAAAAAAGAATGATGGAAAGAAAAAAATATTTTATTTTTATAAAAATTAAGCCAAGAAAAAAAAAAATTAAGCCAAGAGAGACAGGAGACTCTAACAATGCAGACTGAGTCTCAAAGCGTAGGTTCCCTCATCTGTACAATGTATAAAAGGTGGTTTCAGAGACAACACAGGCCAAAGGAATGCTAAAAAGAATTTCAAAGTGTAAGGAAACTCACACCGCATCACTAATGACTGTTAATAACAATAACAGCTCACACAGAGGTGGGCTATGCAGCAGCAAGTGGAGGAGAGGAGGTAGCTGCACCTCCTGGGCCAGGCAAAAAGCAGAACAGAATCACCTACACATCACTGTCTTGGCCCATGACTTTTTTTTTGGCCCTTGCACTAAGCTACATTTCTAGTTCTTTATTTTTATTTTAAGATAAAAGTCTGGCTAAGTCACTGTTATGGTTTCTATCTAGATGTCCCCTGCCAAGCCTCATGGGGTCATGGGGGGGGGCGGCTTTTCTGAGGTGGCTGGACCTAGGGTGTGCGATGCTGGGATTAAGCCTGCCCCACCTGAGGTGTGGCTGGCACCGTTCAAAGGGCAGGTAGCCTGGATGAAATATAAAGGCAGGTTTGGCTGCTGCTGCTGCTACTTCTTTGCTTTGCTCTCTTCTGCCTGCCTGCTTTACCATGGACTGTTTCTGTTCTGTGATGCCCCTCTGCCACGCCACCCTGCCTTGCAGCCAGCTGATTATTGGCTGAAATCTCTACCACTGTGAGCTGAAATAAACCTTTCCTCCTTTAACTTCGGGTGTCAGGTATTTTGCCTCAGCAACGAGAAGAGTAACTAAGACAGTCACTAAGTTTTGGTTTGTTTTTTTTTTGTTGTTGGTTGTTTGTTTTTGTTTTTTTGAGACAGGGTCTTGCTATGCAGTTCAGGCTGGCCTTGAGCTCACTCTGTAGCCCAGGCTGGTCTCGAACTCTCAATGGTCCTCCTGCCTCAGCCTCCCAAGTGCTGGGATTATAGGTGTGCACCACATGACTTTTTTTTTTTTTTTTTTGAGACAGGGTCTCACTATGTAGTTTAAGCTGGCCTTTAACTCACTATGTAGCTCAGGCTGGCCTCGAACTCACAGCAATCCTCCTGCCTTAGCCTCCCAAATGCTGCGATTACAGGCATGCACCACCACGCCCAGGTAGTCCACAACTTTTAATAGCATGGAAGATTGCCTAACTTCTAAACTCCACTTTAGTGGGTCCTGAGCCACATATGGTCCTTAACCAGCCAGTAAATGGCAGGTTTGGGATTCAACCTAGTCTGTTATTTACTGGCTATGTGAGGGCTTGGACAAGTCACTTAACTACTCTGCACCACAATTTCCTTACCTTAAGGATCCCCATCCCCATCCTTAAAGGGGATGATAACAGCATGTAATTCACAAAACTGTTGTGAGCCTAAATGAGTTAATGTATTTCAAGCTTGCTTAGGACAGTGCCTGACCGGCAGTAAGTGCTTAGTGTGCTGGCTGTCATAATTACAAGTATTCTTCCCTATAAACCAGACAATCCATTCAGATTTTTTTTCACAGAAGTGGTATTTTTCAGCCTCCTCTGATAAATCTGAAATAGAGTGGTTTGTCGCCCGGCATGGTGGCACATGCCTATAATCCCAGCCCTCAGGAGGCTAAGGCAGGAGGATTGCTGTGAGTTCAAGACCAGCCTGGGCTACAAAGTGAGCTAAAGGCCAGCCTGAACTGCATAGCAAGACCCTGTCTGAAAAAAAAAAAAAGACAAAAAAAATAGGGTGGTTTTCCCTTAGATAACTTGCCTGTCCCTATCAAAAAACAGGAATTAAATATATTCAGATGCATTTGAGATACAGCTGGTTATCACTCAGCCTCCGTCCCTACTTACCAAACCAGACTTATTTGAAACAAAGCTGTTTCCCTCATTCTCTAACCTCTTCCCATCCAACATTAAAACGCAGGAACCAAATACACTCAGATAAATTGTTCGGACACTTACTGTCCAAATACAGGAAGTGACTTCTTTTGTATGATGTTGAGGATAGAACCCAGGACCTTGTGCATGCATTATGGTTTGTGTCTAGATGTCCCCCCGAAGCCTCATGCAGTCATGGAACAGGTTCTAGAGTTTATGATTGATCCATGGTCCAGGGCTGGGATTATGGATGTGAGTACTACACCCTCCCTGGGGCAGGGAGCCTGTATACAATGTAAGGGAGGGAAAGAGGCTGCTTGCTGCTCCTCCCTTTCGCTCTTGTTCCTTTTCCTGTCCTCTGCTGCCATGAACTGCTGCCCTCTGCCATGTGCCACCCTACCTTGGAGCCAGAGAGTATGGACTGAAACCTCCATCAACTGTGAGCTAAATAAACCTTTCCCTCTTTAACTTTGGGTGTCAGGTATTTTGTCTCAGCAACAAGAAAAAGTAACCAAGACAGCATGTTAGGCAAGTGTTCTACCACTGAGCTACATCCCCAGCCCCTAGGTACATTTTTTTAATTAGTCATCCCTAATTATCTAAATTTTCCCTCTTCACTATGTAAATTGTGAAAATGAAGTGCCTTCAGATAACTTGGTTGCTTCACTGTCTGAACTTCCAAAAGGCTCGTTCTCTAAGAACTCAGGTACCAAACAACTGGGGCAATGAGGAATCCCCGAGTTGTTAGGAATAGGTATTGATAAAGGTTTTTGGGCTGGGGATATAGCTCAGTGGCACAAGCGCCTGCCTGGCAAATGCAAGGTCCTGAGTTCAATTCCCGGTATCAAAAAAAAAAAAGGGTTTTGGATTAAAAAAGATGGGTCTGATATTCATTATTCAAACTCACCATGCTATGAGAAGTGCAGGAACAAAATATAATTGAGTAACACATTACCCTATTGCTATCCAGATTCTCCCCCTCCACCCTTGGAATCATGGAGATTCAGAAAACAAGGGAATCTCGTTATTGATGTTACTGTTACTACTAAATGAGCCTGGGTTTATTTTTTAAGACAAGGTCTTGGTCTTACTGTTACCAGACTGGCCTCAAACTCCTGGGCTCAAGAAACCCTCCTGTGTCAGCCTCCTGAGTAGCTGGGACTAGAGGTGTGAGCCACCATATCTAGCTGGACTGGACTGATTCTAACATCCAGTGACAGCCTGTACCCCCAGCACATACACAGACCAGTCTCATAGAGGTGGGACAGACTTAGCACCAAAATATTGCTTCCTGGTAGAAGAGGAATAAACTCTAGCCTACATCCCACCACTGCAAGTCCTGAAGCCTCTGGTCTAGAATAGACTTTTTTTAGGCCAGGAAATCAGGGATCATACACCCAAGATTAAGATCAAGGGTAGGGGTAACTAACATGTCCTAGAAAATTCCTACATAACCGTTTGAGTATTTTCTCAACTTCCCCGCCTCTCCCAATACAGAACAGCCCCCAGTGTAGTATGGATGGAAACATGACCCAGATGCTCAGAATCCCAGAGAGTCACTGAATAATTCAGGGTATTCTTTCACTTAGGGAGGGCGGGGGGCACAGGAACATTTCCATGCCCTCCTAGGGCAGGAAGAGAAATGTAATCTCTAAGTGAGATCACTGGGGTGGGAGTGGGTAAGGAGAGATCACATCCAAAGACCCCATCAGCCACACAGGGCTCACTGGCTGCTCCTGCTTGTCAAGTGAAGCATTTGGGATGTACTTCTGAAGCACTGGAAACAGAGAAGGGTATAAGGGGACCCGTGTCCTGGACTCAGCAGGGATGGGAAGTGGGTGTTGGGGAGGAGGAAGGTCCAAAAATGCTGGAAGGGCATGCGAAGGAGTAGAACAGGGGTCTGGGGTTGCAATGGGATAGGATGAAAGGACAAGACAGGAAGGAGTGCACGGACTAAGACAGAAAGAGTCATCATAGGATGGAGGACAAGAGGCCAGACAGGGAATGAGCCAAGATGCTGGCCTGACAGTGGGATACAGTGAGGTTTGGGACAAGACTTCAAGCACAATAAGAAAAAAAAAAAAAAAGGCACAATAAGGAGGCAAAACAGTAGGGTAGAGGTCAGGGCCAGTATAGAACAACAGCCAGAAGACATGACTGGTACAGGCCAAGCCAGTGATCAAGGCAGACGACAGGTAAATGGGGAGATACAAGTTGGAGAGCAGGAGCAGGGGAAGACCAGGACAGACTGACGACAGGAATGAGGCAGTGACGAGACAAGAGGGACAAGCAGGGCAGGGCTGGGGATCGGGATAGGGACAGGGCAGGAGACGGGGCAGTTACAAGGTGGAGGGCCAGGACAGAGACCAGAAGTTGAGAGAGGGACAGGGAGTGAAGAAGAGGTCAGGAATCAGGACAAAACTGCATCAGACTAGGGTTGGGGTACAGGACACAAGTGGGAGGGTTCAGAGACTGGAGTGGCACTGTAGGAACAGACAGGTCAAGCATGAGGGCGGTAACTGGGGTCAGTGTTGGGCCCCGGGACAGAACAAGGTGAGCTTCACAGATGGGACAGGGTCAGGCAAGGATCTGGGGTCAGACCAAGGATCTTGAGGACCGAGCTAGGTGGGCTTGGGGGTCGGAACAGGGCTTGGAGGTACAAATCAGAGGGTGAGGACGACACCAGGCCAGAATTCGATCAGGTCAGGGACCGGACTGAAGGTCCTGAAGCAAACGTGGACAAGAGTTTGGGATTTAAAAGCATCTAGTCAGGGGTCAGGGATGAAGCCGGGGGGTCAGAGGTCGCGGGTGCGCGCGCAGGTACATCCTAGTCGGCGTTTCCGGGCCCTCACCCCGCCCTGTCCCCTCCCTTCTTCCCCTGGCAGGGGATGGCACTCACCGAGGGTCCTGACCCGCGGCGCGGGAGGGGTCGGCGCAGGCGGGGGGGGGGGCAGTGACGGGTGCACCCCTCCCTCACGGCGCCCTGCTCTTCCCAGGCGCGCGCCTCCTCCCCCTCCGCGCCCTGCCGGTGGGCCGCGTTCGGCCCAGCTACTGTTAGCCGTGGGGGTCAAGCGGGGGGCGCCCAGAAGGAGAGAGAGGAGCGCCGGCCCCACCGTAGGCGGTGCACCCCCGCCCCCCCACCTCCGGTCGGGTCGGTCCGCTCGAGGCGGCACGGCCACCTCCGCCGCTGAGCTCCAGCCTCGGGTGGGGGGACGGGGGGGCGGGGCGCGAGACCACAGCAGCGCCGGAGACGAAGTGCGCACGCGCTAGCTCGGGTCTTCGATTTTTCCAGCCTTAGGAGCGCCAGAAGCGCACAAGCTGGGAGCGCGTGCGCACACGCTCTGGCTCGGTCGAGGGCGGTGTAGCCCGCCCCCGCTGAGGCCACGCCCCCTCAGTGAGCCTACTGGCCATCCTCATCCCAAGTTGCTTACCATATACCCCCACCCAGTACCCGAACTGCTCTCTGTGAGGCATCACCACACCTTTAAATTCCCGGAACGACATCTCCTGCGCTGTCCCCCAAATGCAACCCAAACCACCCTCCATCATCCCTCAAGCTATATCCTCAAAATACTGTATTGATTCCGAACAGTACTTCCAATCTACCCTCTGTGGACAGCCAAGCTGCACCAATAAACCATGCTCTATTAACCTTTCACTTGAGCCTAAATCGCATAAACTACACACGTAAGTATACACCCCAAACTATACACCTAAATTACCCTTCATGGATATCAAAATCGCATGCAAAAAATTATTCGTATACACCCCCAAAGCACCACAGCTGCCCTCCATCAACTTGCACCTCCGAATTTCAACCTACAAACCACCTTCCAAGCCGGGCATGGTGGCGCACGCCTGTAATCCCAGCACTCCGGAGGCTGAGGCAGGAGGATCGTTGCGA